ATTGGTGAGTGAGCGGGGCACAGTGGCATCCGCCTGTAATCCCAGCAACTCAGGAAGCTGAGGAAGGAGGATTGCAGGTTTGAGGCTAGCCTCAGCTACTGAGCAAGAACCTCAGCATCTTAGTGAGACTCTATCTCAAAATAAATAAAAATCAAAAGGACTGAGATGTATCTACCTCTGTGGAAGAGCATCCCTGGCTTCAATTCCAAGTACTGGGGAGGAAAATGGCAAAGTGAACTATGAACTATGGAAACTTAATTTAAAATAACTTGTTTACAAATAACACGTTCTTTGCTGATGCAAACACACCTTGAAAACACAGGAAATCTCTTATCTTTTATTCCCTGAACCTTATATATTATCAGAAAGCTTCATAGTGTCTTGAAGACTTTTTTTCTTCTCTATAATGAAGTCATAGTTCCTACTGCAAAGTAGTGAAGATTAAATGAGACAATGCAGATAAGATAGTTAACACAGTATTTGGTATGTTAGTTCTTATTCAATGTTACCTTTTATTTATCATCATCATCCCCATTTCTATGCAAGTCAACTACAGAAGCATGACATGAAATGTACCCTTTTAGTCTGCTCAAAAAATCCTCCCCTTCTTTCCTCCTGCTAATAAGCAGAACTTTGATTTTGTTGAGGGTAACGGTGGTTAGCTTCTCTTGAGTATAAACTGGGTCATGAGGCTCAGTTCTGGTCAATAAAGTATAAGCAGGAATTGTTGGTGTTCCTTACATATAAGGGGTAAATGGTGACTGAGCACCATGTACCTTTTGCACCCTGTTCCTATTCTTTCTCTTTTCCTGGAATATAGATGTGACACCTGCTGCTCCAGTAGCTATTTTGTGACAACAAGGCAATCTGAATATAAACTCCAGAACAGAGCTGATGAAGACAAACAGAAGCTTGGATGGAGACTGGACACTTACCATATACTAGAGCTGCCATACTAGTCTTGAACTCTATTTCTGATTTCTCATTATTCAAAAACAAACAAACAAACAAATAACTCTATCTCCTAATTTTATTTAGACCTGTTTCCTCTTCTATAAAATAAAAAGAATAACAATAATCTAGCTTATAAATTTGTTGTGAGGATTAAATGGGTTAATATATGTGACTTAAAAAAAACAAGGCCTTGCACAGTGGTGCACACCTGTAATTCCAGAAACTCAGGAGGCTGAGGCAGGAGGATCTCAAGTTTGAGGTCAGCCTCAGCAACTTAGTGAAGCCCTAAACAACTTAGGGTGAAATAAAAAATATAAAGTTCTGAGGATGTGGTTCAGTGGTAAAGTACTCCTGGGTTCAATCCCCAGTACCAAATAAATAAATAAATAAATAAAGAAGGAAGGGTCAGGCACAGTGGTAGATGTCTATGTTCCATTGACCTGGAAGGCTGAGGCAGGAGGATCACTTGAGTTAAACCCAGTTTGGGCAGCAAAGCAAGACATTCTCCTTCTTATTTTTTGCAGTGCTGAGAATGGAAGCCAGGGCCCAATGCATACTAGACAAGCACTCTACCACTGGGCTACAATCCTTACCTCTTAAAATAACAATAATTGAAAGCTATGAACAGGATGGCCTCCAAAGCCATAGCCTCCCACTACATCTTGGATCACCATCCTCGCCCTTTGTGTAGAAAAATGCCTGGCATCTATGTTACCGGCTGAGTGGTTTCTCAAGTTCTTCATCAGAAGAATTGGATAAAGATCCATTCCTCATAGGACAGACTCTTCATTGGGATTTCTTGTTTGTTAGAGAAAAGAGACACAGCATTGACCTTGAACGTGTCTAGATAATTCTGGACAAAGAAGGGAGCTGGTTTTTCTTGCTGTGTGAGGACTGTTGGGGTGGGCTGGAGTCTAGAGATTCTAATTGGCTTTGGGCACGTTTTCTAATGCAGGTCCTAGGCAAGTATAATTTCATACTTGTCTAGTATGCATGGAGAGAGAGGGGTCCATCCGGAGGTGCATAGTCTGTCTTTGCCCTGTGATGAGGATGTGTACCTGCAGCTGCTAAGAGAACACATAGTTGAGGCGTGGAAGAAAATGCAAGTCTTGCCACCAAGAAGTGAAGGGCCCTGGGAATGTGCTGTGTTGGTGGCCCTTTTCTGTCCTTTGTGTTGTTCGTTGGAGGGTCATGGCGAGGGCATTCTGGCCTCCATGATGTACCTGGCTTCTGAGGCTCATGGGCTGAGAGTGAGAAGGGAGGGAGGGTACCCCAGGAGGGAGGGGTACCCCTCTCTCTTAGTAGCTGGCAGCTAGTAGCTAAGGTCCTGGGGTGCATTCGCCCTTGGAAGGAGCTGTGTCCTTTAGTTCTCCCTGTTAGCTAACAGGATCAAGACTATTATTATTCCAGGATTTTGTTGCTAGAAATTGAACTCAATTGATAGTTGATACAGCCACTATGAACCCATTATGTCCCATTGTCCCATTTAAGGAACACCTAAAAACTTAAATTAAGCAACAAATTTACCACTTATGGTTACTTTGAAGTAACCTTGGTTTTAGAATCCTGTTGTTTAGAGAAAAGTAATAGGTGAATGATTAGCGATAATTAATAACAGCAATAAAACTGATAACCATAGTCATATTAATAATTAATGATTATTTAATAATTATATCAATGAACATTATATCATTAATATTAGTGATGATGAATTATATAATAAGCTGCAGGCTATAATTTCAAATGCATTTTAATTTACCTGTATCAATGTCATTGAAATATTCATAGAATTTAAAACTTGGGACTTAGGGGCTAAAAATTATATTTATTAAACTATTTAATGGCCAGGGAAGATATGTTTCTTTTCATCTTTTTATTGAAAAATATGGGACACTTCTAGAATTTGCCATCAACCTTGGGTAGGAGCTATGCTAATCTTCTCTGTATAGTTCCAACTTTAGTGTATGTACTGCTGAAATAAGCACGGGAAGACATTTTTTATAAATATGGTTGGGGAAAACGACAAAACTGTACATGTAGTATGATTTGAATTTTAACAATTATGTAAGTGTACAGAAATACATCAAAAACACATAATAGTAATTAGCTCTGTGAATATAATCACAGGTGATTTTCTTTTTCTTTAAATTATTCATTCCTTCTGGGCACAGTGGCACACACCTATACTGCCAGAACTCAGGAGACTGAAGCAGGATTGCAAATTCGAAGCCAGCTTCAGCAACTTAGCATAGGCCCTCAGCAATTTAGCAAGACCCTGTCTCAAAAAAATTTTTAAAAGTAATAATAATATAAAGGGCTGGGGATGTAGCTCTGGGGTAAAGCACCCCTGGTTTAATTCCCAGTACCAGAGGAAAAAAAAATGTTTTTAATTCCCCAAATCTTAACAATAACCATATAATACTTATACCTAGGAAAAATCTTATTTTGAGACTTAGGGCATCACTAAGTTGCTGAGGCTGGCTTTGAACTTGAGATCCTGCTGTCTCAGTCTCCAGAGCCACTGCCATTACAGGTATGCGCCACCACATCCAGCTACAAGTCTGTTTCCTTGCCACTAAAAAACATGTAATAAAATACCAGAGAAGATTAGCTCAGCAAGCCCTTCCTGACAGCCCCCTGTTTTAGAAGTTAAAAACAAAACAAAGAAACCCATTACCATTTCCTTCATATTGCAATCTACAACTACTTTAGTTGTTTACCTGCTTATTTTCGGTTATCTATCCCCTAGAAACATAAGTTGCATGCTGTTTATCACTGAATTTCTGGCGTCTAACATATGACAATTAAATTTAATTAATTTATTAAAATTAATAAATATTTTAATAAATTAAGTGCCAAAGCTTCTGGGGAAACATCAATGTAGAAACAATAGCTCTGCTACAGAGCTCTATACCACCTGTGTCAAGTCACTTAATTGCCTTGGATACTAATTGATGCAAAAATAATTCTTTTATGGGCCTTTATCTAAAACAAAAGTTCATTTAATTAAAACTTGAGTCCCTGTTATCTGCTTGGTTCTGGCATGCCAGGGATTTTCTAACAAGAGGCCCCTCCCTCGTGTCTGATAAGAGTAGGAATAATTCTCAGGAGTTCTCGGAAGTGAAAAGTAGACTAAATATTATTTGCATTTTTCATGCGCATATTCTCCACAAATGCAGAATGGAGTTTTTGAGGCTACATATGATGTTTGATGAAGGGTAGTGGAATGTGTGTTACCATGTCTTAACATATTCATTTTAAATTCAAATTCGGTAATTGTAGATACAACAAACCCTTAACATGGGGGGAGGGTGTGCTGGGGTGTAGCTAAATAGTAGAACCCTTGTCTTGAGTTCAAGTCCCAGAACTACAACCAACCACCAGAAAACAAAAACAACAAAAAAAGAAACTATCTTTGGGGTCTTCCGGGTGTGAAGGAGCCCAACAAGTTTGAGAACCACTACAACACAGGAACTTTGCACACCCAGGAAGCCATTAGCAGCCAATACAGTCTACATGATAACAGAGATTAGAAGGTAAGGACTGGTCGGCCTAACGTCAGGAGGAAACTGCGGGGATAGGTGGAGACGACCCAGAAAGGTGTGGGCTGCACGCAATCCAGCACCGCTGCGCGGGGAGTGTGCCCAAGACTGCTGACAACAGCATACACCTCCTAAGTTTGCACACTCAATACAAGCGATAAATTTCGTATCTTGGTGGTCAGGAACCCAATAAAAGCCTAGGCATAACAGGGCAGTCTCTCTGAATTTTAAAGCTAAAACCTCTGTCCATTTAGTAATAACTGTAAAATTTGGCCCAGGGGCCAAGCCATTTGTTTCCTGGGGGAGGAGAAGGCGGTGCAATCCAGTAAAGGCGGGAAAAAGAATCACTAAAGAAAGAAAGAAAGAGAGGGCTGGGAAGGGAGGGGAAGAGGCTGAGCTAGAAGCCAATGAACGAGACCGAGGCTGCAGCTCGCGCTCCAGCCCTCCGCATGCGCAGGCGCACGCCTGGTAATCTCGCGGGAAAGAACCGTTGCCGGGCTCGGCGTTGCGCCGTGGTGGAAAGAGGAGTGGAGGCGGGAGTGAAGTCTCGCGAGAAGAGGGTGGTTGCCGTAGCGGAGTCCTCTGGCTGTGTGTGTGTCTGTGTCTGTGTCTGTGTCTGAGGAGCCGCCGCCGGAGCCGCGGACGGTTTGCTGAGTCCGTTACTGCCTCTGGCCAAGACTCGCGCCGCCGTCATGTCCCGCTACCTGCGCCCCCCCAACACGTCTCTGTTCGTCAGGAACGTGGCCGACGACACCAGGTAGGTACAGGGCAGGTATTCCGGGCCTGCGCGAGGAGGCCGCGGGCGCACGCCGAGAACCAAGCGGCGGCGGGCCGGGGAAAGGGCGGGGTGAAGATGGCGGGTCCCGCGCCCGCTTTGGCGCCCGAACTAGGCCGCGCCGAGCGAGGCGGCGCCCTGGGCCGTCGGGCCCGGCCGGGCGGCCGCAGGGCGCGCGGGATGTGCGGGCCGCGTGGCCTGCCCGCCGCCCGCTGCCTGGGAGCTCGGTTCCGCGGGGTGCACGCCCCCTCGCTCAGCAGCCGGGTGGGTTGGTTTGTTTTAATTAAAAAAGAAAATTGCATTGTAATAACGGGATTGAGGGAGAGGAAAGCATTTGCTATCCTTTTTCCCCCGCCGCTGTTATACATGTATTTGTAGTGTTTAGAGACTGGGCTTAAATAGGCTTTGTTTTCAGCAACCCCCTTAATTGCTTCGAATTGCCTAAAGAATTTTTTTTGGAGAAGCTATTATTACATGAGGATGTTTAATATTTGACAAATAACCTGCAAACAAAGTGTTTTTCGGTTAGCGTTTTTTGATTTACTTTCTTCTGTCTTAAAAATGTAGGGGAGAAAAGCAATAATTCTTTTAGCATCTAGAAGAACCTCTCCTTTGTCATTTTCACAATGTTTAAAAGTTGTTTTTATTTGAGGCTTTGTTTCTGCCCCCCACTCACCTTATCTACCACTAATTAATTGACTCACTATAATTTGGGGGTAATTTTGTTCGGTATTTTCCAGAGTATTAGAGTTGATTTGATACCGTTTAAAAAAAAAAGAAAAGAAAAACCAAAAACCCAGAACCTTACCGCTCTACCTTTTGTGAAAAATGAAGGCTGTAGATTTAAGAATTCTGATTGTTTCCTTACATGTCTTTTCTGTTGTGATGTAAAATAATAAATGGACTCATAAGCTGCATTTATCTTTCAAATGCTTGGATCCTGGCTTTCCTTTATCAAAAAGATATTGCCATTACATTTTATGTATTACAGTTGGCTTTTTTTTTCTTCTTTTGTGGTGCTGGGGATTGAACCCAGGCCCTTGTGCATTCTACCAACTGAGCTATGTCCCCAGGTCCTACAATTGGCTCTTAATGTCAAAATTTAGAATGCTTGTCTGTTTCAGGTCAGTTAGGGCAGGGATACAACTGAGACCCAAAGGTCACACAGTGTTACTAATAACAGTTTCTTCTGTTAAGAATATTGGAAAATAATTACTACTTATAAAACTCTTTTAAAGGCATGAACATAAAAATTTGAGTTCTTTTCATGATGTTTTAGGTCTGAAGATTTACGGCGTGAATTTGGTCGCTATGGTCCTATAGTCGATGTGTATGTTCCACTTGATTTCTACACTCGACGGCCAAGAGGATTTGCTTATGTTCAATATCCTTTCTTCAGATGCTGATTAGTGAGGGGTGTTGAAGTTTGAAATTCAAGTTTATGTAAGTGGTAACATCTAAAAAGCAGTTTATTTTTGTCCTCTAATAAATGTCTTATGTCTTCAAATTTTTGAAAATTAATTCTGACTCACATTGCTCTTACTATTTTCTTATTAATCCAAAAATAGTTAAATATTTAAATTCCCATTCATGATGCTGAAACTCAAATCAGTGATTATAATGTGTGATTTAAATTTGAATACACTCTGGTTGCTACCACCTTTAATGTAAGTCAAATTAAAAGTTAATATGTTCTTGTGCTTAGCAATTAAAGTTTAGTATTCTTGTTTGTTAATTTGAATCACTTGATCAAAAACAAATTGTATAAAAATGAGGTAAACTTCTTTAATATTGTCCCCTAATTTGCTGTCCTCTGTTGTTACCTCAGAATGTAAAGCTGTACAGTTATGGCGACCCCAAAGAGAAAGCATGAAAGAACCTTTAGAGTAGAATTCAACACTTAAGGCAAGTAGACAAGCCAAAGACCTCTTAAGGATCAGGCTTGAAGAGAAGGGAGAGTTTGGGAAAAGAAAAAATACAGAAAAGCTGGAAGAAGGACAAGCCTAATGGGAGACAAAGCCTCGCTTTATCTACAAAGGGGGAAAAGGTTGTTTTTCAAAGTTAAAGATAAAGCCATCTGTCATATTTGGCCAAGCATCTCATGACAAGTCCTTCTGACAAGCACTTAAAGAGTTAAAGGTCAAGATGAAGTTGAATGATGGCCAAGATTAAAGGAGTCATACCTGATGTATCCTACAGAATAACTTTTCCTTTTTCTTTTCTTTTTCTTTCTTTTTTTTTTAATGGTTTATAAGCAGTTAATTTTCAAAAGTTATTTTGGTTTGGTCTAGTGACAAAACCTGTAACTTGATTTGTGTGGGCCTTTGATGTTGTGATTGTGGTCTTGTATAAATGCACTCTCTCTTAGCTTATCAAGTTAAAGTGTAACCGGATGTAACATTGTTAAGCTTAAATTCGGCATATTTTGGTTTTGGACCAGGTGGTCAGAGGCTCTTTGAAGTAGCATGAATTTTTGGGCTCAAGCCACAGAGCCCTGCTTAAAAGGGAGACAAGTGCATGCATTGGGGACTACCTAGAAACAGCTCTGGTGGTCACATACTGTCAGGTCCACTAGAAACACCTTATAGATTTTTAAATGGCTTCCGGGAACATACAAATTCCTAACTTCTGGAGCTTAACTCTGAAGCTTGCAGGCCCTGCACTGCTTTAGCACATATGATCAGTTAGCCTTGAATGGGTTGCAGAAGGCCTTCTCCCTAGTATGGATACCTAACCGGGATGTATGGGAAATCTATCCTTGACCCAGAGTTTCAGGTGACTTTGCTTCTTCCCTTCAGTGAAATCATCTCCCTGCAAAAACAAAGGTTTGGGCTGTGGACTTGAGGTCAGAAAGAATTCTTACTACTAAAATATTCAGTAAGTCCCTTAGAACTTTCTAGTTAGAGTCCTAGTAAGTATTAACAGGGAAAAGCCAAAGCTACTCCTGCAGGGCTAGCAAGTGTGGAATTTAGTTGCAAAACTGTTAAAGAGAAGATATATCTATATATGGATGGCTTGGTAAATAAAGGTAGTGATGCATTCTGACCTATAATTTTGATCTGATTTTACGTGGCTTGGGATGGTGTGAAAACCAAGAACAGCAGTACTTTTGTCTCAAGTGGTGATATTTGAGCCTTTAGAAAAGTGTGGTTATACAAAGGAATCGAAAAGAATGATAATTTTTTAAATACATGTTCAGTAAGTCTTGACTATGGTCTTAAAATAGTTAAAAAGGAAATACATCTCAGGCTTATCAGTTTCATGTTTGGAAAGACCCTGAAGTACAAATTTCTTAGTAACTGGCATCAGAGTGATACTTGGCTACCCCTCCTGCTATGCTCTCTCCTATCTGACTCTTCCCAATTGGCTTTCTCTTCCTATCCGTGGCTTAACAGGAGCAGTGTAGAACCTTGCCATCCAGCCCATAATTTTTTATAGCCCTTTTTAAGTTAAGTATTCTCTCTTGGGGTGGCAAAGTAGAAGTAGAATACCCCTTAGCGAGCTTATTCCTTTTGATTAGTTTGGATCCCAACTGCATTAACCTTTATAGGTCCTGAGTCTCTTCATCAGCCTTTTCATTTTGAAATGCCAGGTTATTTAAAAATTGAGCAAACCTCCTTCCATTTAACTTACACACTGGCCCCAGGAAGAGCGATCTGGGGACCCACTACAGTCCTTAATTCCTTTCAGAACACAGAGAAGTCTAGTAAGGCTGAGGCAGACCATTTCATCTGAAATTAAAGTACACTCATTATAAGTCTTGAATATGTCACTTCAGGAATGTTTTTAATTCTAACTAAATAAGCTCTCCAAATCTTGTGTGCTAATGTTTTCAAATTTAAGAAATAGAAATGGACATACTTAAGGACATTTATTTATTTACTTACTTACTTAATTACTTATTGATGGGGTAGAATGATAATCCAAATCAAAACTTGGCTCCCTTTCCAAACCTTTTATATCAAACACTGCCTTGAATGTGTATTTGACTTCTGTTAGAATAATGATTTTAGAAAAGGAGCTACATTTGAACAGAATAACTAGCCCTCAGAGTTCTGCTGACATGAGTGGGAAAGACATAGCAACTTAGCTTCTCAGATCAAAAATGAATACCAGCAGATCCTATTTGACACTGGTAAATGTTATCTTGAAATTATCAAGTTAGAAACAAAACTACTTTGCAGGAAGCTATATATTTAGTATCATGGCTGGGGCTTTCCAGTTTAGGAATCCTTATCATGTTCTGTTTTTTCTTGATAGCATGCTTTTACCATCTGCATGGATGTAATATGCATTTGGTATAGTGATTGTTTTGAGTATTGCTTGACTGTCTTGATACCCACAAGTGGTTAGCAGCCTGTCTTCCTAGTGCAGCTCAAGGAAGACAACTATGTGAAATAATAATATTAGATATAACTGGGGAAAAATAGCAATATACATTTGAAATTATGCTTTCATCTTTTCTAAGATAAGGCATATATTGCTTGCTTACACAAGAACTATTGGCCTTTTCCCTTTTTTTTCTTTAAAACAAATATGTGAAAGCTATTTTGGTTTCAAGAAATTTTTGGCACCCAGGATAGAATCCACTGGCTTGTTTTTCTTATTCTTTCTTGTTTTATAAAGTTAATTCTTAAAACTCTGGGAATTTTTTAATAGGATAACTTGGTGATTTAGCTCTAACAGATCTGATAACATGTATTCATGTGTTTTTTCTAAAAGATTAGCTTTAGAAATCACAAGTACTTTTATGTTGTGAAGCATATTAATGGCTGAATCAACCTAAGTAACAAGTAAGATTTGGTTGGTTTTTTTTAGAATATTAGGACATTATGAATTGTTCCAGACCTACCAACTGAACTTTGATTCATTATCAAAGTTTGCAAAATTTCCCAAGCCCCTTAACATTTAGCACATTTGAGGATGTTCGTGATGCTGAAGATGCTTTACATAATTTGGACAGAAAATGGATTTGTGGACGTCAAATCGAAATACAGTTTGCACAGGGAGATCGAAAGAGTAAGTACCATTATGCCTAACATAAGTTTAAATCATTTCTAGAAAACCATTGTTGCAATTAATATATTCTGTTCCAACCCCAAAAGATCAAAAGTTGATCAGTACCACTATCAACTGTGACATACTGGGAGTGAAATTGAGAAGGATAAAAATTTATAACATTTTGGATCTCTTAAGCCATTTTCTTCGTTGTAGAGATCTTCAAAGGGGTCTGAGGTTGTCGCTTAGTGGTGGAGTGCTTGCCTAGCACATGCAAGGCACTGGGTTTGATTCTCAGTACCAAAGGTATTTTGAAAAATGAAGCTTTAAAAAAAAGATCTTCAAAGTATAATTGTTATGTGAGTGCATGGCTATGGAAGTGAACTGATAGACTGGGAGGGGCTATCCAGATTAAACCTAGAATAGATCTTATTTTAGTATTCTGTTTTTATTATTATGGAAGGCATATACCAGGTTTTAGCTGTATTTCAATGAGGTAGGAGTATAGACGGGTGAAGTAGACTTCCTTGTGGCTGAACCATTATTTGATCCTGGAAAAGATACTAGAGGATACAGATTAAGGGAGCTGCTAAAGGGCTGGGGTTGTGGCTCAGTGGTAGAGTACTAGCCTAGCATGCATGAAACTCTGGGTTTGATCCTCAACACCACATAAAAATAAAAAATAAAGATATTGTGTCTACCTAAAACTGGAAGAAAAAAAAAGCACTTAGGTAGTCATAAGTTGTTAATTCTCTTGTTCTGGAATGGGGTGATAGGTTCCTAGATAGTCCCTGTTTTTTATATATACATATACAATCATACATAAAGTTTCTATGTAGAATTGAGTGAGATAAGAGTTGAGGGCCGGGGCTGGGGATGTGGCTCAAGCGGTAGCGCTCTCGCCTGGCATGCGTGCGGCCCGGGTTCGATCCTCAGCACCACATACCAACAAAGATGTTGTGTCCACCGAGAACTAAAAAATAAATATTAAAAATTCTCTCTCTCTCTCTCCTCTCTCTCACTCTATCTTTAAAAAAAAAAAAAGAGTTGAGGGCCAAAGATATAGGTATAAATAAGCATAAGCCAAGGAAATTATGGTGTCATTTTTACATAAAGTAGTCTTGTGATACACATCTTTGAAAATAAATACCCAAGATTAATATTTGTAACCTTGAACAAACCCAAGAAAGAAAAGAAGGCTCAATCAGTCATCTTTCAGATCTGCATCTTACCAAAACTAAAGGGATCTCTAAGACAGATTGCAAAACACATTATTCCTTTGTTTTGGTATTAGAGAAGGGAATGTGGGCTTGTTTCCCTCCCCCTTACAATTTAAGGATGTAAATAATAAATTTCAAATGTTTCTGAATATTTGTGTTCTGTGTATTTCCTAGCACCAAATCAAATGAAAGCCAAGGAAGGGAGGAATGTGTACAGTTCTTCGCGCTATGATGATTATGACAGATACAGACGTTCTAGAAGCCGAAGTTATGAAAGGAGGAGGTCAAGAAGTCGGTCTTTTGATTACAACTATAGAAGATCTTATAGTCCTAGAAAGTAAGTTTGTACAGTGATCTGTTTTTAATAAAAAGATGTGTTCGTGGTCAGGAATGGGGGCATGGACCTGTAGTCCCACCTACTGGGGAAGCTGAGGCAGTTGGATTGCTTGAATACAGAAGTTCAAGGCCATCCTGGGCAATATAATGAGATTCTGTCTCAAAAACAAAGAGGGTGTGTTCGTTAGCATTTTTATCTTTTTGTATGCTTTATGTGTTGAGTACTTTGTTGAGACTAAAATAGTGTTTTGATTGAAAAGTTTTAAGACCTATAAGTAGACATTTGTCACTGTGTGCTTTTTCTGATATGCTTTTTAGCAGTAGACCGACTGGAAGACCACGGCGTAGCAGAAGCCATTCCGACAATGATAGGTAAATAACTTTGCTTTGAAAAAAGACTCATGTTTTTCAATTCAGAGTGAACTTTTGCTCTAAAAATAACAAATTTGATTAATATAGAATCTAATTTTTACTCTAATTGTATCTCTCCTCTGTTTTGAAAGATTCAAACACCGAAATCGATCTTTTTCAAGATCTAAATCCAATTCAAGATCACGGTCCAAGTCCCAGCCCAAGAAAGAAATGAAGGCTAAATCACGTTCTAGGTCTGCATCTCACACCAAAACTAGAGGCACTTCTAAAACAGATTCCAAAACACATTATAAGTCTGGCTCAAGATATGAAAAGGAATCAAGGAAAAAAGAACCACCTAGATCCAAATCTCAGTCAAGATCACAGTCTAGGTCTAGGTCAAAATCTAGATCAAGGTCTTGGACTAGTCCTAAGTCCAGTGGCCACTGATAGTATAAACCATGATAATTTTTAGGCATGTATCATTCATTTACTCATAGTTTGGTATACTTAAATTATCAGGAATACAATGTTGCAATGATGCGTAAAAAAACACTTGTTAGTTTTCCCTGTACCAGGCAATGGTTATAATTAAAATGATATGCTGTTGAGAAGCCACTCTTAAGAGTCCAGTTTGTTTAATGTTATGGGCAGCTACCAATTTGTGGTGTCTCTGTATATTTTTGTAAAGATTCTCATTTTTTTATGCTTGAAGTATTTGGTGGAAAGATGTTGGTTGACCATAATTTGCAACATTGTCTTATTAAAAATAAACTTTCATATCCATATTTGGTAGAACTGTTAACCTAGAAATGTAGCTTGCTAATAAGATGGAATGATACAAAAGTGAAGTTGTAGCCACAGTACAACACTGACTGCTCAGACACATTTAGGTTCAGGGTGGACCTTTATGTCTTGTCAAGATGTCTAGGCCCGTGATAATAGTTTATTTATGATACAGTGTGGAATAGTTCTTTTGTTAACCCCACTGTCTTGGGGAATGATGCCAACTTGGTTAAGTAACATTTTCAGGGAGATTAAGTTTTTGACTGAAACATGGAGCCTTCACTGCTTTTTTTTTTTTTTTCTCCTTTTGGTTTCTATGAAGGTTTGGAACATGAAAACATCAGAAAAGCTCCCCTTAAAATTTGAGCAGGTCAATGATGACAAATAATTTTTAAGGGGAAAAGAATGTTCTTAATATAGTTACTCTAAAATTTAAGAGGCATTGTTGCTTAGTTTTCTTACTGCTGTTAGGTGCACGTAAATTGTTTCAAAGTAGGGGTGTGTGGGTGTGTGTGTGTGTATGTACACGTGCGTGTGTATAGCGTAAAAGAATGAATTTTGATGCTTAGAGCCCTAGTCTTGTGCATTTGTATCAGAATTAGCTTACCTCTTTATGAGGGAGGCTTGCTCTTCACACCTTGGTTTGTTTAATGTGAGGCAAATTGAAAGAGAACACTCCCATTCTAGGCAGATGATTCTGTGGTGCCATGAAATTTAAAATAATTTTGGAAAAGGGGTTAGTTTTAAGCAAGAGCCACCTCTTGAGTTTTTGATTATCAATGTCATACATGACTAAAAATTGAGAAGTAATATCATTAACTATAATTTCTAGTATTTCTCTGAATGATCATTTGGAGGCAATTAAAAGTGACTTGAAGTGTCCAGTCTCATTTCAGAGTAAAAAGCTAGCATCTTTTAAAATCTCAGATTGCTTGCTTGCTTGCAGAAGTAAGAAGTATTGTGGGGAAACAATTCCTTTAGAGGATTATTTTCTTCAACTTTGGTTTTAGAAATCTAGGCCTAGCCTGTAAAGAACAAAAGAGATGGTTTTTAAATACTGTTTGTGGAATGTGTTTAAAGGATTGATTCTACAACCTTTGTATATTTGATAGTATTTCTAACTTTCATTTCTTTACTGTTTGCAGTTAATGTTCATGTTCTGCTATGCAATCATTTATATGCACGTTTCTTTAATTTTTTTAGGTTTTCCTGGATGTATAGTTTAAACAACAAAAAGTCTATTTAAAACTGTAGCAGTAGTTTGCAGTTCTAGCAAAGAGGAAAGTTGTGGGGTTAAACTTTGTATTTTCTTTCTTATAGAAGCTTCTAAAAAGGTATTTTTATATGTTCTTTTTAACAAATATTGTGTACAACCTTTAAAAACATCAATGTTTGGATCAAAACAAGACCCAGCTTATTTTCTGCTTGCTGTAAATTAAGCAAACATGCTATAATAAAAACAAAATGAAGGAAATAATGATTAACTGGAATTATTATAGTATTGGATATGATTCTAAAATAAAAACAGTCCTTTGTAGATTTAGGAATATTTTTATTCAGTGTTGCACTAGGCATAACTTACTTTGGAAATGATAGGACTTATCAGAAGTCTACATCTTTTACATAGTATTTAAGGCCTCCTTGTGTATGTCATTCATGATTGCTCATTAAGCCTCTAACCTAAGAGGTTTTTTGATAATGTTAAGATACATATTAAAATTAAATTTGGGCCTGCTAGTTTTAAATTTATACTTTCATTGATGGCTGGATCAATAATTCTCTCCCCCCCCCTTCCTAAACAAGATGCATTGGGCCTTATGTTTATGACAATATTTTAAATTCTTTTTCATTGAATGTTGGTGAGCATTTATTAAGTGATAACCACTGTGGGGGAATAGTGCAGGTGTTATGTGGGTTGATTTCTGGCTACTTTTACATTGATAGCAGGTAATTTATTTAATTAAGTATTTACCACGTGCCAGACACTGTTCAAGGGCCTGTGTGTTGATTCATTCACTCTCCACAAAACCCTATGAGAAGAAAAATGCTCTTATTGTCTCTCTGTCACGGATAGGGAAACTAAGGCACAAAGAAAAGGCAGTAAAGGACTAGTCAGGATTAGATTTAAACAGACTATAATTTGAGAGAAGTTGGTTAGAGCCTATGAAATTTTTCAGTCTGTTTAGAATTAGAAGGCCTAATGTTTTAATTTTCTTTGTTAATTTATTTTTAGACTCAACACCAATTTCTTGAGAAGCTTTTATATTATTTTTTAAATAGCTTACCTAACAGCTTCACAAGGATTATACTGCATTTGAACTCAGGATAGTTAGGATCTTACTTATATGTAGTGAGGATCTTTTTGCACCAGTGAGCTAATTTTGGGTCACATCATTGATGGGTTTCACAGTTACTGAGAATCTTCTGTGTCTGGCACTGGGCTTAATATTGAATAGTCATATCAACACACAAGTGAGGCTAACATTTCACCTCTTTTTACCTGAGACCCCTCTGCATTTTTTAAAGCAAAGTAAGCAAGAAGAAAAGAGATAGTGCTACATAGAGTATGAGCTCTTAAGTTACAACCTAGGGGAGAGACCTGGGAACTACTGTACTATTCTCTTGAAAATTTGACCCAGTAAGCTGCTACATCCAGTTCAACTAACAAAATCCTGTATACCACAGAGAAGAATAAAGAAAACCAAACTGACAAACATCCTTCTTTTATTTAAGACCAAACTGCAGCTGGAATACCCAGTACAGTTCTGCTTACTACACTTCAAGAAAGATCTGAAAGCGGAAAAAGAACCAAAGAAGGGCAGTTCAAGCGACCAAAGGGTGGGTGGAAGGTGCTGCAGTATGAATACTGTACGAATATTTTGACTCTGGTCTGAAAAGATAAAAGAATTATCGAAAACTACATGGAATAATTGAAGTCCCTTCGAGTTTGAAAGTAAGCATTTTAGGACAAATAAAAGGAAATTCAACTTTGTACTTGTGGAAACTAATCCCTAAATATGAACAGGTTTATATTGATTCATGGGTAACAGGTCCATAATAAATTATTGGAAACTAGGATGTCTGAATATCAAGGAAGACAGCCATAGTCTCTTACAGTGCCTCTATTGGTCTGTCTCGAACTGAATTGGGTGGGAAAAGGTATGGTCCAATATAAACTTTTTCTTGGTTATCTCTTAAAAGTCAGTTCCATTTATGCCATTATTGGCACGTCTTGCCTTTGTTTATTCTGGTGCCAGTGTTTTCTGCTTGTTTGGTTTGTTGCCATCTGAGTTTATTTACTTGTACCACATGCAGTTTACATCTTCTTTAACCACTCTGTTTCCCAGGTAAATTCTAATTATACTTGACATCCAACTGAGAGGGCCCATCTCTTCTCACCTCTTTCATAGTCAGTATGTTCAGCAAATATTTATTGAGCCCTTATCATGGGCAAAGCATTGTACTGGATAATTGGGGAAAGAATGGATAATAATTCCTTTATTCAATAAATGTCTACTGAGCACAATCTAGTGAATTGTTATAATATGGCCTCGTTGTTTTGGGGTGTATTATAACAATATTTTACACCATTCATATCCTAATATAATTATAAAGCCCAGTGTACTATCAAAGATAAGTAATTTTATGGTTTTCAGCCTTTTACAAGTATCTATTTGTTTGCATCCCATTAATACAAATAATGAAAAATGTTTTAATTTGTAATAAACTGATTTATTGTGTAGTGACTGTTAATATACTAGTTACTAAATTGTTAACTCTGCCTCAATCACACACATAAGGAAGTAATCCCAAAAATAAATATTTAATTTTGCATTAGCTATAAAGGAGATCCTGGGTGCTATAATTAGATTATTTGGAGGCAGACAGCTGTTACCCCAGCTGATTTAGTATGTTCTGTAATTGAAAAAATGTTCACCAAATTATACTTCTTAGTCATTTAACCTGTACATCTTACAGGGGACATGTTCTGTGTATAGTGAATAAATACCTTTTATAGTGTCACAAAATGTTTTGGATTCCTTAGTTCCTTATTAGGATATAGTTTGTCATATTGATTCCCTCACATTTAATTTTCATCTTGAAATCTGGAAATGGAATTTAAGCCTTTAAATTTAGAAGAATTTTGAAAATATGGTAGACTATACAAGCCTGAAAGGAGGTCTAAAATTGAGGTATTTTTATCCCTATGAAAAATTTTGTTTTAACCTGCCCAGGAACTTAAAATTTCAGGTTAGAGTCCATAAATTCTGACTTGGATTATTTTTGTTGGAAAATGTTCTTAAAGCAGCTTTATTTTCAAGGAGATAAAAAGTGATAATGGAATGTAGAGTTTGTTTCAAGTAAAGATTACAGATTTGAGATCTTATACCCTTACATAATTTTATCATTAGTGTTGAACATTGAATTGGTAATTCTTAAGGGTAGAGGTCCTGTGTGATCTTTCAAAACAGTATCTGTGTAGTTCCTGCGTGTTTTGTCCTCTACCTCCCTCTCCATTTGCTTTTGAATTGATGGGTTCCAATTAAGTTGCATATTTGGTTGAGATTTTCCCTTTACAAAAAAAAAAATTAGTGGCCACATAACCTCTCTTATTTTACTAGTCTTTGGTTTTGTTTTGTTCATAAGTAATAACAGTACTCAATAGCATTTTAAATATGGTAAAACAAAAAAGTCCATGTGGTTTGAGCACCTTTTGAATTACAGTGCATTGTTATATGTGATTGTTCCCATATAATATTTAAAACTTATCAATATCAAGCACCTAATTTGCCAAACCATATGTTTTTCATATACTGCTGCTTAACCCCAAAAACATACCTGGAAAATGAATGCTATTCCCATTTTGCAGGTGTGAAAAAGTTGTCAATTTACAGAATACCTTCCATGTGATATAATTTTGCATACCCTGCTTCATTTCTCAATTTTGTAATCTAATGGTAACTTTTATAAATTAGATTGCTATATCTGACAGGCTCTGTGGGTCAGACTCATCATAGCCTGACTTTCCAAGTTCCAGTCTCAAAAGAGATTTTTCATTGTATTTTATTTTTTTCCATGTTATTGTTTACAAAGTCCCAGGATTCTATTTTGAAATGGGAACGCTGTGACTTGAGCAATAGTTTGGAATAAATTAATGACATCCTACTAAGTGGACCTTCGGGGCTTTTAGGAACCCCAGGCGTGAACAATACTCATTTTTTAAATAGTGATGACTTAATAGGTGAAGTAAGCAACCTGTTTATCTTCCTTCGGCTGTTGACATCTGTAAGACATTCTGCTAGTCCTGGAAAAGGTGCCTTCTGGGGTCTTTTCCTCTACCGGTTCTTCCAACAGTGTTGGTTATCTTTATGATGTTCTGTGTATTTGTAAAGCAGTTTCACCCTTGTGTTAAAAGATGGAGTTTTTTTTTTCTTTTGGAATAAAAAGTAAGGCATGTAAATTCATTTCATTGATAACAGTAGTTTGTAAAGAAGTAAAAGGCCTTTGTATCTAGTTTTTGCAGATCACATTTCTTTGAATGCTGGAGAGTGAAATAATAAACTGGTCTAGGAGCCAACAAATCTTGTTTTTTTTAGATTTTGCTCTGCCTTACAGATACAACTACCGTGGTAGACGTTCCCCTCATTTGTTTTAAGAAGTTTTGGAGATATATTCTCTTGGGTTTTAAGAAATTGCCTATGAGAATTCAAATAAAACACACTGGGGGAAACTTGCCTAAAACCCTTTATCACCCTACTGCCACTTTATGCTTCTTTGGGGGAAGGAACTACTTGGGATTTAAAGGTAGGTTATGGGCCTGAATTCCATTAAACTTACTGTACATGCCCACTATCAAAACATAGGACAAACTGGAATTAGATGTATTAAAAGACCCACTGGAAGTATAACTGAATCTGTAAACTGTTTTCTGGTTTTCACATGAGCTTTGATATTGGTTTCATGCCAGCACACTTTCTGAAGGTTATCCACAATTAATATTTTCTAACTAGCTCTAATATGAAATGCTCATATTATCATTGACTTTTTATTCAGGTTCCCACACATTATTGAGTCTGCTAACCCCATTTGTAGTGCTACATCAGAGAACTTGGCAGTTCTTGGCACTATTTTTCATAGAAATTATGCACAAAAAAGAAAATGAGTACCTTACTTACAAATTTGTTTACAGCTGTGCCTTTACTGGGATTATTGAACTAGTTTAAGGCACCCTATATAGGTTGGGAGCCTGTCCATTAGAAAACCAATTCAAAGGGTTCCTTCACATACATGGATTCCTGCCAATTTGAGCTCATTTGTCCTATTTTACTCTGCAAACTGAAAACATCTTAGAATATAGAAAGATCTATTTTACTGGGCTTTCAAAACTTGCATAGTTCCTGCAAGTACAGTTTTGGGGGCTTCAGTCCAACTAGCAAAAATTGCATAACTGTCAAACCAACTATTAAACAGTATATTAGTCTCTTCAAGTCAACATTCCTGTCGAATTTCAGTTATGTACATTCTAAGATTCAGCAGTCATAACAGATAATAACGAGCCACTGGGGAGAAAATTTTTATTTTTTAATTTCATGTTTCAAATTCGTATCATGTACAATAAGTACTACATAAATTTTGCCTTTAGTATATTCAATATTTGGCTTGGGCAATAGTTCGTCTAAATTCATTTAGTGAAATATATAGTTATATCAAAGACGCGAAATTAGAAAGTAGGGCATTATCAGGACTTTTTAATTGACCCATGTACTTTTCTAACTTGCCATTTAGGCTGTCATTTAGCATTTTTCCCTTAAGATTGGTGAAAACATACCTAAAGGGGTGTTATGCAAGAGATTACATCTTTTGCATTAAGCGGTTCCCTGGGTTGTACTTACTATGACCAAAAAAAAAAAAAAAATTAAACTCACTGGCACCAAATACAATTTAGATTTGTATCATTGGTTACAAGAACTGGTGAGAGCCAAAATGAATCTTTGGGTTTATAGACTGGAGGGTAGAGGAATCCTGTACTGCATTTTACACCTCCTAAAAGTAGGAAATCTTCTAGCAGCTTAGACTTTCTTAGTTATAATACAAAACTTAATTACATTAGGATTTACTTTGTAATATAGTTTACAACCAAATCAATCATAACACATACACTGGCACTTTAGCATGAGGGCAAGCTTTAAAAACAATTCTGGACCTTTAAAATTAGGCCATAGTATAAAAAAACAGTCCATGGTCTTACATTCAGCAAATTCATACTAAAATATCATATTTTTGTAGGCCAAGACTTTACATATATGCTACAAATTTATTACATGTATTTACATGGCTCTTCTCCCCTAGGTTCTTTGAACTTTCACATTATACAACTCCCCACTTTAAGCTTTGCAGAGATATGAGGCCAGATCACTGTCAGAATAGCTTTGCAGTTCTGTAATACAAAAAAAAAGTATTTTTTGAAAGCTATCAAGTGCTCAATAGTTTTTCTATAAAAAATGGTTTGGGTGCATCTATTGGCATACACCTATCCATTGCGATTTAAGAAACAGGGCACCTTATACTGTATACTGTGCCTCATTCTAATAAACCCCAAGTGCCCTTTACGCATTCATCACTGTGCAATTTAGTAAAATACAACTATTAAAAATTCACATTCTCTTGGCAGTGCATTATGATGTTGGCGTGTTACTAATTTGGCTTTCTGGGACATTAAACTTTCAAATGTCCACCTAGTTTTCAATCCTTGTCTCAGCTAGATGCTTAATCTGATCCACTACAAGTAAATCTTCTTATCCATGAATCTTTTACTATATTCCCCCAATAAAAATATAAAAAGTTGATTCCTTTACCATTCTCAATATAAACTTGGTTTTCACTTAAAAGCTATTCATTTGAGAACACTTATCAAGTTCAATTATTTTAAGTTGCACTGATAACCACCATTATATTACAGTGCACACAATATGTAAAACAAATGAGGTGAAATTTGATTAATATTCATACATTAATAAGCAGTTTTACATAAATTGGTTAACTCCCTAGTGAATCTGTAATTTGTTTCAGACCAACTGACAACTTTTTATAAACTAAATTTAAACATTAGTACTTTATATCTTAGTTTATACTTGGACTTTAAGTAAGGTTTTAAGTTGAAATGTCATTATTTCCTTGTCTGAAGGATTAAAGTTCACAGGAACCCAGTGGCTTGGTGGTTTAGGAAGAACACTTGGTGATGGTGGCTCACTAAATTTGGCTCCAGCATAGTTCTGATTAACTTGAGACTTAAAAAGTAGGGTGGGACTTGATAAGCTAGCATTCCAATTTTGATTACTTGGAAAATTTTTGTTCTTCCCCCCATTTTGCATGGCCTGCCATGCAGCTGCTGATGAGTTATAACCATGTCCTCTTTCTTTTTTCTTATGAACAATTTTCATCTGGGAATTCTGATCCTTGGTCTTCTGTCTATTAAGCTGCTGTTGGTTCTTACTACCATTTCTAGACTGAGGAGTTGGAATGTTATACCTCTCTCCACCACCCATCTTCAGCTTCTTTGTCACCTGTTAAGTGGAAACAAATACTGAGTCAAAGTTCAGTAAGAAAAGTTCAAACACTAAGAAGTATCTTCAAGCTCTTTTAAACTCCAGAAATCTTGGGAAGGATTGAAAATGGCTAAAACATGCTTAAGGGGATGTTACAAAAGAGATTACACCTTTTGCATTAATTGGTCCTCTGGGTTGTACTTCCAATGTTGTTAACTCAAAAATTAAAGCAAGCAATCCCACGTTATTATATGCACATCCTTTCCTAAGAAGGATGAGCTTACCCACAGATCAGTATGAAAACCTGTTCAAAAAGTATGGTTTAGGATGGGTTCATCATAAAAGGTTTGCTCCATTATGATGTGAGCTTTATACCTTTCAGTCTGCTTTTCGGATTGCAGGATTTCCACTACCTGTCCTCTTCCTTGCTGCCAAGCCCAAGATAATAGGTGTTGTTTTCTGACGGATCCTTTCCTTTGTCTCAATACAGAAGTTTTCATGGGCCAATCTGCTGAGTTCAGCCTAGGAGCTGAGGCCAACATCTGAGTCTCCTCAGCACACAAGTTTGAGAGAAGTCCTAGCTAGAAAAGTAAAGATTACTTGATTACTTCAATTCAAAAAAACAAGAGAAAGTGATCATTTAAATTCACTAAACAAACTGTTTAAAAGAATGCTACTTCGTTAACAAAAAGTTTTCAAGAAAATAATCTGTCTCTGATTATTTCTTCATTTTAAGAACTCAGAAATTTTATAAGTGTTGGTGCAAGTTCACGACCTTTTGTTTTTATCTTCTTCCCAGAAGATTCACTCACATATTTGTGACCAAAATGTTAGAGTGGCGTTGGCCACAGCAGGACTCGCTTACGGGTGATTTTCTCAAGACCACGCTTCTGAAGTTCCCTGGGGCTGGCCTGGCGCTGCGAGGCCCGGGCTCAGCCCCAGTCTCTGACACCACCCTGCCGCCCCTCCGTCACCGTCCGCACCGTCAAACAAGGTGCTTCCTTTGGCCATCACTCCCATAACTAGTTTCCCAAGCCACAACGTACGTTCACACACGTACACACGCCAGTCCACCAGCAGCTGACCCGGGCTTCACTTCCGTGTGACGGTCCGGGAACCAAGTTACCAAACCGCCCCTTCGTTCCACCAGGGTGCCAGGGCCTTCCAGTTCTAATGACCTACATAAACTACAGTTCCGGACAGGGTCACTCCCGGCTGCGGCCCGCTCGGCCGGGGGGTGGGGAGGCTGCCCCCGAGTCCGCGCCGCCCGGCTCGCTCCCCGTCTCGGTCCCCAACAATGGGGTGCCCGGCAGCCAACATGGCCGCGCCGCCGCCACTCACCGACTTCAAGCTCGGACTGCGGCGGCTCCCTCTCGACGTCGAGGCCTCCCTCCCTTTCCAGGGAGAGATGAGGCAAGGATCGAACAAAGCCCACGAGAGCCGACGAGCTGGCTGCTGACCACCCTACGTCTGAGAGCCGACCTCCTTCTGCCTCTACCAACAAAATGGAGGTGGTGGCGAGCGCAGAAGCGGGGCCGGAGCTCCGCGGCCAATCGGCGCGCGGCGGCGCGGGGCCCGTCCAATGAGGAGCGGGCCGCCGCCTGTTGCTGGGGCAGGCCGGGGGCGAGGGCGGGGAGGCTGTTGTGAGGGTTTGAAATCCTCCGGGAGGAGCATGTCGGGAGTAACTGCCCGGCCGCGGAGGCCTCCGCGCGTGGGACCCGGGCCGCTGGCTTCCCCGGGGCGCAGCCGCCGCCTGCGCAGCCTCCCGGAGGGCCGCGGGAGGGGATCTGGCTCCGGAGCCGAGTCCCCGCGTCGCGGAGGGACTAACAGGCGGGAGACATTCAGAAAGCCGGTCCCTGCGTCCACCGCCTCTCCTGTCCCATGGTTCCTGCGCGTCCCGAAGCCCGCGGCGCCGGGCCGTGCGGAGGCGTCGGCGACGCTCGATTGCGCCCTTCACTTCCTCCCGCGGGTCCCGCCCGATCAGAGCCTTCGCCTCGTTGCCCTGCGAGGCCCGCGGCTGCCCCGCCGCACTCATC